TTGTTTCCTTGGTGCATACTATTACTGTGTTTAATATGTGGAAACTGGTGAGAATAAATCAGATTGCTAGACAGATTACTGATACTTGAAGTGCTAGCTGCTCTGACAGAGGAATGGCAACATATCTTTACATATGCCAGTGGCTAAAAGAGAACAGTCACTCAACCTTTGAACACTTGCAGAGATGTTTTCAATATATACTTCTCAGACATGACTAAAGTTGGAAAACATTTTTCAAAATCTCTGTGGAATAAAAATGTGTATGTTTATTCTAAGGTAGTGTACTTTACAATCTTCCATTTTACCTATCCTATGTAAATGTGGCAGTTTCCATTAAACTCAGTCCAGACAAGATGTTTAAACACAAAAACAACAAATAAAATCAAAAGATGCTGCTCCAAAGCAACTTTTGCAATACCTGTATGTTGAATTTCAGTTTCTTTGCTTATGTCCTGATCGGTCATTTTTTTTTTCCCCTTTGCTCTCCCTGCTTGCTTTGTCTTCCCCAGTGGTAAGAGCACATGAAGTAGATACTTTAAAATCTTCAAGGTCACAAGGTTCAAGGAGTATTCATAGCTATGAGTCTCTTGGTGATCTACCAGCATCTTTCTGAGGAAGGAGGCATAGCAGAAGAGAAGGAGCTATGTAAGGAGCTGGATGGATCCCACTCCTGCTGGCTCTCTGGCAGGTGGGAAGAGAATGCACTGTCCCTGCATCCAGCTGTTTAGGATTGTTTATCTTGTACTCCTGATGTTTTGTTTAGTCAGTGATGATGTGTAAGATACAACTGGTTTTGACTTCCAGGTAGACAAAGTCCATGAAGCAACCAGGAGTCCCAAACATTTGTTGCTGGCAGAATGCTAAATAAACAGAAGCAACACCTACCTGTGTAGGTGGCAATTAATCACATCAATCAAGCAGATCAGCTAGAAAAGCTTTTTTTTTTTCCTTTTCTTTCCTTTTGTTCCTTGTCTCCTCCCACCTTCGTGTTTCCTGGTTGTTGCTCCTGCTGGCAGTAGATTGGGGTTACGTAAACCCTGTGTCACCTCTTCTCTGCTGCCCTGACCATTTAATGCTCTCAGCCCAGTTTAGCAGGGGACTCTCAGCCTACCTTTGAGCATGGATTTATTATCTTTCTGTATTTCTTAGAGAACTGAGCCAAAACTACTGCCTGTGGACCCACATATGTGGGCCCATAGACATATGTGCTCTACTAATTTGAACAACCCTCCTGGAAATTTTTGAACTCATTGTTTTAGCTAAATTTGATGGAGCAATAGAATTTTCAAAGATAAGTTCCTGTTTTCTAAAATAAATGTACAGAGGAAAAAGTAACTTAGTCACAGGGAAAAGTACCATCACAAACTCTTTTTTTTATTAGGCATATGTAATAAACATGGAAGAAAGACTTTCTGAGACATGGGAAAACCGTTCTTCAAAGCCTGGATAAGCACCTTTAATAACTGCTTGAGACACACGAATCTGCAGTTTTGTTTTCCAGAGTTTTTTTCTTTTCTTTTTTTTTTTTTAATAGAAATGGGATGGCAATTTTTTATCAAAGCTAAAAAGCTTTTTTTTTTCTTAAAATTTGAGGAACATTTTCCTAGTCTTCCAGCTTTGCCTTTCCCTTCTTTTTCATACTAGGCTTTAGGCAAAGACTTACCAATGTGAAGTGTTAGAGACTGCAGGGACTGCTTGCAGAAACATGCAGAATCCAAGCCAGTAATTGAAGTGACTTTGGCAGCTGATAGAGAAGAAAAGATGACCCACTGGAGGAATTTTAAATGTCTTTAAACTCCAGACTGTGGTTTTCTCAGAAGGTGAAAATATTGAATAAAAAGAATCCTTATTTATTGATGGATTGTTATTATAATATACCTAAAATTTTATGTGGAGGGAATAATTAAATATTAAAAAAACCCCAGACCAGAACAGTGCCCAGTTTTCTTTTCTACATATGCTGTTTCAGGTTCCTTCATTTTTTTCCTCATAGTGGGATCTTAGGGCTGTTTTTTGTCATAATATCTATGCTGCCATTTTTCCCGGAGCTGAATTCAACCCATGATTGGAATCAAGAATTTGGCTGTGTATGATCTGGTGGGATCAAGCTTCCTGTTCAGTAATTTTCCTCTAGCTTTGAATCCACTTGCATGTTTCACGCTTCATGGAAGAGCAACGTAACAGAACTGGCATTTGAAGAAAAGAAATAAATAGTGTAAAAATGTCCTCCTGAAATTGTGCTCTCTTACACAAAGGAATGGCTGTGCCATGCCAGACTAAGTTTTCTTATATCCCTGAACCCTGTCTGCAACAGTTTTAAATGTGGATGTCTAAGGAAAGAGCGTATGGAGAGGGCAAGTAGCAGTGATGCACTTCCAGCCTCCTGTGATTTGTGGCTGTGAGATTTCCGAACCAGAGATTAAGTCTTTGTACGATGCTATGAAAAATTTCAGCTGTAAAGAAATATCTATTTTCATAATAAAACATTAATTAATTATCCCTGCAATTCTCCTGTATTTGCCAGGGAAGAGCTGTTTTATCTCTCTGGTGGTAGTAATCAATTATTACATAATAGGTTAAGACATATGAGAGCAAGAACAAAACATGCAGGAAATGTGCAGGTGGGAAACTTTTGCCACTATCTGTAGCAGGGAAGATAACAGTTTATTTCCATGCAGACTACAAGTTTTGAGCAGTAGTATCTTGCACATTTTGCATAAGCTTAGGCCAGTTTTACAGTTGGCCTGATTTGTGGGTACTCAGAGAATGTAAAATTGTGGCATTATATGGTCTTTGGGTGGAGCTGAAGGAAGTGAAGAGCTTCACTTGATGGCTCAAGCTCATAAGAACCTCATATTTAGGCTAGAAGGCTTGAGGTGCATGTTCCGACCCAGCATGCAACCAAGGGAGGTTTTCAGGCTACCCTGATCTTCATGCAGGTAGTAATACACAGGTTGTCTTGAGGGGCAACAGAAATTTTTTCTCAGTAGCTCACAGGCTATTTTTGAAACTTAATCAATTTAATTTCTTTAATGGCTTAGGCAACAATTGGCACTGTGGAACACTATGGACTTGCAACACAGTATTCACCAGCTTTTAGTATATTAAGTACCTCATTTTAATTCTGTCCTAAAATGGAATCCTTTGCATCTTTCATGTTCATTACATCCATAAACCATGACCTTAGTCCTTGACACTGGAAACCATGTTGAATAAATATCTCTCTTCATTGTGGTCCTTGGCAATGACAGGTTTTGTTTAGTGAATTTAGAGTTTAAGTTTATTCCTGTATAAGTTATAACAAAGGCTGAATGTTTCTCAAAGCCTTAAAACTTCACTACAAAAAAAAAGTATTTCCTAGATTAGAATAGCTGATCCAAAGCATAGGAACCTCTTTGTCTACTGTATAGATTTTATTGCAGATCCAGTTAATGCTTCAGGGACAGATAACATGGTCAGATGAAGAGTGATGAAGTAATAAAGACTAAAAATATGACATTCCATGTTTCCATTTCTTCAGTGCTTGGTTAAATTGTCAGTGGTATTTCCAGTGATTTTTAAAATTTCCATCATTTATTGCTCTATATAAAATCTCCAGCTCCACTTGAATGTCAATAGCTTAAGAATTCAGCATATTTTAGACTAATTTTGCTAACCAGAATTAAAGTTAAAAAAAAACCCCAAAGCCAACCAACCAAAAACAACAACAACAACAACAATAAAAAAAACCAAAAAAAAACCCCCCCAAAAAAAAACCCACTTGTAGAAGCCACAGTCTTAAGAATGACTTCAATCACACAAGGGCACAGCAGCTGTTTTGAAGGAGTATTACATCCATGTTTGGTAAAACACTTGCTGTCTAGGAACTTATTATCAGCAAAATTTATAAAAACACCTACCTGACAATGCTTTAGTGGATTTTGTCCAACAACTCTGCAGTCTCCTCCTTACTTTGAAATGGAAGGCTACCAGAGGCTGAGAGTGGTGAAGCTGGACAGGTCAGCCTGCCTACTGCCAAGTCCCTGACTTGCAGTTTCTTTCAAATACTTTGGGCTCTCATCTGCCTTTGCTCTTCACATCTATGTACTTTTTAAGGTCATTTGTCAACTAAAGAATTTATGAATCTCGTGTCTGGAACACAGCACAATGGGCTGCCATACTGCTGACCTAGGTTTTTTTATACCCTTTTTTTCTCTCTCTAGATTAGATGACGTTGCTTTCACTAAAAGGTTGATTCACTTCAGTGATTGACAGGAGGGTGAAAAAGAGATTTGAAAGCTTCAGAACAGAAATCCCTTTACTAAATCAGGCATGTTCTGCTTTTTACAAAATTAGGTCCTCCAGTTCTATCGGGGATTAACATTTTTTTAACTCAGAAGATGGTGTACAAAAAAAAAGAAAATTTTTTATGGTGCTGTTAACAGCTAGCAGAGCCAAAGTAGATTGTGCCATTATTTGCTTAGAAGAAAAACAACACTTGCAATCTGACCTTAGTGAAGTGTTTTTGCTGTGTTCAACTGTTGAAACTTAAGATCAGAACGTAACTATGTAAGTGATAAAATGGATAACATTTACATCTTCTACCAGTTAATTAATACTTGTGAATTTTATAACAATTTTTTCTCCCTTAAATTCCAAGAATTCCATGCATTTCCACATCAGAATTTTGTCCATTGATCTAGCAGCAGTATTACTATGGACTATAAATGTGTTTTACTGATGTTCACAAAGGAAAGCTAAGAGGGTGCAGCCTGGTCTGGATAACCAGCAAGAAATGTGCTGCTTTTTCACTCTCTTCTTCTGCTCACTTTATCCTCCAGCACATCCCAGCAGAAGTAACACTCCTTTAAAGATCTCTGCTGCTTGCCAAGAGGCAGGACAGAAGTCTAATGCATATCTAGAGTCCCTTAAGGAGAAATAATTTTTAAGTGATGAAGTTCCAGCAACCACTCAGCCGAAGATCAAGGATCTCCTCATTTTATCCATCTCTTTCTTTGCAGACTTGTAGAGAATCCTGAAGTCCATTCAGAGACCAAAGGGAGCGTGCTGTTGCTGGAAAAAGAGAGGAGGTTCAAAGACAAGGGGCTTCATGATGCCGTGATTCTGTATGAACATGAAGGTAAGCATTACCATTGAGTTTTTGTGTTCCCTGCTTCATCCTTTTCTTTTCTAGAATGGAGAAGAAAGAATATGACCTCAAACAGCAGCATTCCCAGTAAAGCTATTTCCCTAAACTCCTTGTCTCCTGCCCACCATTTACTTATTTCCTGCTTAAAATGCCCACAATTCTCTTTCTAGTGCATATTTATGTTTAGAGGGTGACATTTCATTGTGCCGTATGTTAAATAATTTTGTCTCTAAATGGATGCAAGATAATTTGAATAGGAACACACCTGTTTCTGCTGTTTTGCTTTTTTTTTTTTACATAAACAAATCTGGGAATCATTTTCTTTGAAAATATTATTTTCGAAGTATCTTCTCAAGATATTTCAGGACTTAATTTTGAAAATGCACCAGTGGACTTGCCTCCAGAATTTTTATTTCTCTGTCCCCCATGTGACAGATACAGACACTTACGTGGACCACCTTTCTGTATTTTTCCAAGTTCCCTTGATCTTCAAGAAAAATGGAACAAGTAGTGGAGTAAGAAGGAGTTAGTTTGCAATATTTGCAGATGAGGAGTAAATGAGGAATTTCTGGTACCTGATGTTTAAGAAGGAATTGTGAGAATTCATAAAGCAATTAATTCTCTGATAGAAAGATACTCTGGTTAGGTTTTGCAGTGGGCACAAACTTCAAACCTCAGTTTTATTATCTGCAATGGTTTTGATCTAATTGCTGAGAAAATACAGGTAAGATTTCTAATGACACAAACCCAAGGAAATATATCACTGAAATGAGAACATCAAGATTTCCGTTTAGTCTAAAATGCCACCCAAAGATGCTTTTCCAAAGACTTTCTGGTTCTCTCTTGGAAACCTTACAAGCTTTTGTTTCCCCTCGGGACTTCTAGAATTTCCCTGTTTAGACTGGAGGGTCTCTGAAGCGGAGGCTGTTTTGATAAACTGTGTGTACAGCACCTTACACAATGGACCTCTGATCACAGCCTGCATCTCCACGTTATGGCAATGCAAATAAATATATGAACAACTGTCCCTTGAACAGGAAGGAAAATAAAAATCAGATTCCCCAGAGAGTTGAAGCATATATGGTAACCAGTCTCCTATCATAATAATGTTGTATTTGTTGAAATCCAAGACTTAGTAGATGTTCATCTTTCTTAGCATGGCAGAAGTACTCTCCCATTTTGTTTTATATCCTTGTGCAGAAGTTTTTTTCTTGTTTGCTTTTTATCCTGTTTTGCCTTACACTAGGGGAGACTTTGTTTTACTAACATTTGTAGCCATCACTTTGATCTGCAGCAGGAAAGCTCAAGATCAGCTTCTTTGCCCATAGGGAAACAGATGAGATCAGAATATGCCAGTTTTGAAAACCTCACTAGATTGGCTCTAGAAGAAATAGTTCTTGTTCCTTAGTTAATTGCAAATTGCATCTTTATTTTTAACAAAAACGCTATGTTTTCTACACATGATTATTCATTTGTGAAAGCTGGAGGCTGATTTTTATTTATTCCTGACACACATGAGGTTCTTTGTTCCTGGTAAGTAAAAGAAATGTTGTAGTTTCCAAAGTCGCATTTACTGCAGGTTTTTGTGCTTGCTTGTTTTCTAATGTTCCTCTGTCATAGTGATTGTTAGGAAAATTGTCACTCTTGACAAGTACTTCCAAAAGTGTATTGTTATAGGTCAGGGTAGTGTAATATCAGATTGGGTGTGAGTAGAAAAGGTTTCTTTGTTTCAGTAAGCACTGTGAGACTGCATCAGTGATGGTGACTAAGCTGATTTCAGACCAGCTTCCCTCCTTCCTAACAAGGGAGGAAGCGGGATTTATTCAAGGGCATTCTGGAGAATCAAGGAGAGGTACACCAGAGGAGCAGATGAAGGCCATGCCAATTCTGTTGGTATCTCCTGCCACAGCACTTGTGGTGACTGGGCAGAGAAGCACTGGCAACTGTGCTTACCCTCAGAGTTTAGTCTTTGGAGCACGGTGTGCTCCATCTCTTGCACCAGGACCTTACAGTCACAGGAAAGGCTCAAGTAAGGGTGTCTCTGTTACTTATTGAGTCTTCTGGTGGGTAAAAAGAGTCTGGATGTAAGTCTGAATGTGCTAAACCACCAGGGTTTTGGTGGTAGCTGCAAGTGATTGGATATTGCAGTACATCTTAAGAAAAAGATGACTTTGCTATAAAAACTGAATGTGCAAAACAGAGTGTGGTGGCTCAGCCATATCCCCTGTGCACATATCTGTGTTCAGATTGGCCTGCAAGACATTTTCCTGTTTCTACTTGTTTGCTCTGGAAATGGTGGGAAAAGTCTGTCCACATTCCTTCTCCGCTACACTTTGTTCAAGGCAGCATGGAGTTTTCACATGATAGACACAAATGGCTGGAGAAGGATCCTCCTCAGTGCTAGCTTTCCGGTTCCAGATATTTCCTCCTTGCCTCTGCGTGTGAAATGAGCAGTTTGCAGGTGTAGAAAAAATTCTATGGGCTACAAGGACTCAGCAGGTGCAGAGAAGAGTTTTACAGAAATACCTTTTTAAAGCTGAAAGCTAATTTTCTTTGACCTTTTTAATGCCCTGTTTGTGCTTGTTTGCCACTGGTGTTCATGTTGGTGCAATTTGGGGCTGGGGGGTATAGGAGTGGTCATAGAATAATAATTAAATTGGTGTATTTGCAGCAAGCCTTTTCATTAGCACCAGAGAAGTGACTGACTATAGGAGAAAACCTTAAGGCATCACGAAAGCAAAAACAAAACAGTTATGTCCAGTCAGAACAACTCCAGTTGTGAATTTAGATTTTAACAATCCTTACAAAGTGTTCCAGTCATTATTAACAAAATGATGTAGTAATAATAATAATAATTTTGCTTGAATAAATATGAGAGCTCTGGTGTAGATGGCTGCCAACAGTAATATCTCTCTTATTGTTCTTTCATCAAATGTTACCATATTGTGTATTAGCTGGTTACCAAGAAAATCTATTATTATAAACAGAAGAGTTTCTTTATCCCACCATAGGTAAAAAAGAAGTTATCCATAATTGTCTTCACAGTTTATGGACTATATAATGTGAAGTGGTTGAAGCCCTCTAAGATAGTACCTTTCAGGCTTCTTTCCTCCAAAGCATGGAGAAAACATACCAAACATTTAGATTTTTGTCGTGCTGGGAAACTACAGAACATACCCACGTGAGTTGTTCAGAAGAAGAAATACATCACTTTTCTTTGAAAGAACATTTGTATTTGCTGGCAAACTTTGTCTTGAGCAAACATTGTGAAACTTTGGTTTGGGCAGCCATTCAAGAATACCCCAAAACCCTGTTCATGGGGAAAGATTCCTGTATTTGTGCAGCAGTTTCTAGACCAATACGGTCTCTCTCAAGAATGAGGGTATTTATGAAGGTAGCTTTAAAAAAATAAATCTATCTCAAAACTCTAACTGCTCTAGTTCTAAAATCCAGAAAACAAATAAGCCAGCTGTTAAGGAGTGTGCCTGGCAGGTACCAGTGAGTTAGATGGTAGCGTGACTTTCACATGAACTTCCTGTAGATAATTCAGCCTTACAGCAAATCCTATAATTCTCTCCTCTTATCCATCTCAAATATTGCAATTATTGCAAATATGACTTGGGCATTTCATGAGGCATTAATCATCTTTATCAGATATTTAGCTTCAGAAATTATTTTGTAATGCTGTTTACTTTGTTACTCAGAGATGAGTTATTACAGAACAGTAGTGTTGGCCATGGGAAAAGGCTGAAAGGAGGTGAAAGGCTTTATCCTTTGCATCAAGAAGCAATAATAGAATAATTATGTGGCTAGGTGTGCACTTTCCAAGGCAGCTATACCTATTCCTTGCCATCAGACAGTGAATAACGGTTCCATGGTTTGTTGCTACATTTGGTTTTCCATCCAATTCTGCTTTCCACCAAAGTCAGGACACCTGCAAGGTGTAACTTCAATAGGAAAAGTAGCACTCATCAGCCATCAGGTGAAATAAAAAAAACAGAAAACAACTGTTAACTTGGACTCTTGCATCCTGTGGTGTGTGCATATGCTGCTTATAAAAGATGCCAAATCCAAATCCTGGCCTTGACTGGAGGTAGATGCAGTACAGATCCCAATTGCTCAAATCCCAGCCAGGGTGTCTGCCCTGCTTGCAACTGAAAGGTTGCTTAATTGAATTTAATGAGGTTGTCCACATGCAGCACAGTTGGCAAATAGTTGTCAGAAGCATCTGATGAATTCTCCTGAAATTCTGCTCCATAGGGACTGGATTTCTGTCACCAGCAGTGGGTCAGGCTACCACACAGGCTACCCATGTAGGAAGGTGTCACAAAACATTGTTTCCCAGGGGAAAACCAACCTAACTCTGCTCTTGAAACAAACTATTTAGCCACTTACGAAGAGCTGCCCAGATTTCTCCCCAGTTATCTGGATTTAAACTTGCAATTCAGCATGTTACACAGAGTTAGTATCTCCTGCAACGTATGGGTGGAGTGTCCTCTGATTTTTTGCTGTAATTGAGTAGATGAGCAAATTGCAGCCCAGTTGTGTTTAGCATTACTTTTTACATAGAATTTATGGCTGAAATTTCCAGCAGTGAATTGACCTTTAGGAGAGTGTGGTTTATCCTCCATAGCCACATAATCCTCCAGCAGTGTATGGAAGCCATGAACTAGACAGTGAAGCAGAATCAGCTTCTTCTTCAGCCTGCACTACTTCCCTGCCCCTACCCTGCTCTGGCTGAGATTCTGAAAAATTAATTCCTCAGCCATTACCCCACAGATGAAACTGGTGCTAAAACATGTTAAAAATAAACAGAGCTATTGTTCCAATCCTCTGGAGATTAGCTATTAACCTATGTGATAGGTACAGGCTAAAAAACATTAGTGTTTTAATGTTGATGTATGGTTAAACTGTGAATATGGAGTAGGGTGGTTTTGTTTTGCGCCTTTTTTTTTTTTTTTTGAGAAATTTTATCTAATCTTATTTCAGAG